CCCCCCCAACCCCTTGGATCCGCCCTTGAACCTCGACTTGGATCCCCTGGATCCGCCCTTGAACCTTGACTTGGATCCCCTGGATCCGCCCTTGAACCTCGACTTGGAACTATTATTCGAGGCCACTGAACGAAACAGTAAAATGGAGTGTTCTTGGTCTTGTGTGATTCTATGATCAAATAACTATGAACGAAACTGTAAAATAAAGTATTATCATTATATACTTACATATTATTATATATCACCAACAGGTTGGAAAAATCATCCAACAAACTGCAGGAGCGACTAATCTTAAGAACGTCACGCTGGAGCTCGGCGGCAAGAGCCCGAACATTGTTCTCAAAGACTCTGATGTTGACTTTGCTGTGGAGATGAGCCACTTTGCGCTTTTCTTCAACCAGGGACAATGTTGCTGTGCTGGAAGTCGTACCTTTGTTGAGGAGGCAATTTATGATGAGTTTGTGGAGAAGAGCGTTAAAAGGGCCCTGAATCGAACTGTGGGGAACCCCTTCGACTTGAATAATGAACAAGGACCTCAGGTATATCGCATTTATAATATGAGCTCGTAGAGTGTAAAACGGACCCAGAATGGAGCCGTGGGGTACCCCTTTGAGGCTTATAGTGTGTAAAAAAGGGCCCACAATAAAGCTGTGAGGTAACCCATTGACTTAACAGACTAGGACCATAGGTATATTTTATTCGTAGTATGAGCTTATAGGGTGTAATAAAGGCCCAGAAGGAAGCTGTGGGGTTATAAACTTCGTGCACTCGTGCATGCTGTTTGTAACAATTTTCTGCATGTACTTCAGGTCGACAAGGAACAGTTGGACAAGATTTTGAACTTGATTGAAAGCGGCAAAAATGAAGGGGCCAAGCTAGAAGTAGGTGGTGGTCGTCATGGTGACAAGGGCTACTTTGTTCAGCCAACTGTATTCTCTGGTGTTCAGGATGACATGACTGTTGCCAAGGAAGAGGTACCAGGAAAGCCTTTTTGTAAACTATATAGAGCTCTTTTCGTATGCTCGCTAAAAATGTCGTGGTAGTTACTGCGGTTTTCCATATTTTTTGTATCATAATATTTTCAGTGCACCTATTTCTCACGTCACTTAGTAGTTTCGCTCGAAAAGTGTCGTGAAAATTTCATTTTATAAGGTATTTATTTGTTTCGTCTTACTCCAGATTTTCGGGCCAGTGATGCAAATCCTGAAGTTCAAGGATACTGATGACATCATCAGACGAGCCAACAAGAGCATATATGGTCTTGCGGGATCGATTATTACCAAAGACCTTGAACGAGCTATGATGCTGTCTAATAGTCTTCGCGTTGGAACTGTGTGGTGCGTAACGGACCAAATACAATATAAATTGGGCGTAATGATTTTTCCATTTCAGACCACATGTCATTCTCTAGACCATCATATCTTTGTTTAACGGTGCGCAAGGGGAGGCAGTCACATGAATATAGTTACAACTCAAACAAAGAAACCTATTCGCAAGAGAATGACACGTGGTCTGAAATGAAAAAATATTATGCCCAAGTGGATTTGGTCCGATAGTAATGACGGAACAGATGGAAGCGCTTTTAAATGGGGAATTTTGTCCCTCATGCAGATCGGAGTGAGCTTGGCCATCGTAAGTTTGGTAATTTGACAGAAGCCAAAACGCCTAGAGTTAGTAGGTCGCAGAATTATAAAAAGCGCTGTAAAGCAAACTAACAGAAATAAAGCTCAACCCAGTTATTTCATAAAAAGTTTTTAAAACATTTTTGCGCGGCAAGGAGTTTTTGCCTGAAAATGGATTAATTTTTTGATATTTTATTTTTCGTAGGGTCAACTGTTATGATGCTCTTAGTGCCCAAGCACCTTTTGGAGGATACAAGATGTCTGGATCAGGAAGAGAGTTGTAAGTAGAACAGGGGCGAATCCAGGAATTTGTTCAGAGAGGGGTGCAGCGCACATAGTTAACCCAGGGAGGGGTGCACCCCTTGCAATCAAAGGGAAAAAACATTATTTTGTATTAGTTAAGGCCCCGTCCACACTTATCCGGAAATTTTTGTATCCGCAATTTTTTTTTTGCGGATACGGGTTGCGTCCACACGTGTCCGGAATTTTTTGTATCCCGTATCCGGAAATTTTCGAAAACGGTCCCCAGAGTGGAAATTTTCGAATACGCTGCGAATACGGATACGTGTGGACGTTCGTATCCGCAAATTTTCGAATACGCTGACGTAAACACGATTTTGCACATGCTCAATAAGAAAAACTAGCCGTCAAAACTAGACACTAGCGTGCATCAGGGCAGATCAAGAAATTTCCGGATGCGTGTGGACATGAGTGAAAACGATTCGAATACGCTGCGTGTGGACGCAAACATTTTCGTATCCGCAAAAATAAATTTGCGGATACCAAAATTTCCGGATACGTGTGGACGGGGCCTAAATCTTTGACGTAGGGGCACAAAGTCCAAGATATCCAAGATAATGGTTATTGTAATTTGTATTTTATAAAAGAAATGAAAACTTGCTCGCTGTGCTGTGTAGACGCCTTGCGCTTCTCCTTGAAACACTTCTCTCACCTTAGCAGTCATGCATATTTTCTATTTCTTCAACAATGCTTGCAGGTTACGTATTCAAAGCTGCTTCTTGGAGCCTTTATTATTTTATCTTTTCATTTTCTTTCAGCCATCTTTGTTTTCTTTTTCTTATCCCTCCCACGCTATTTATTGCTCAGTTCATCTCTCTCTTTTTTTTCAGAGGAGAGTATGGTCTTGAACAGTACTCTGAAGTCAAAACGGTAATTTATAATAGTTCTGATCCTCTTTATACCTTTGGTGAATGCTTTTCCATTTCAGATCATGTTATTCCCTAGGGCCCGGTTGTGTGAAGCCTGGATGGTGCTATCCGATGGATAAATCTTATCCTGAGGATAAAATTTATTGGTATAAATTCATAAGGATTTATCAATTGGATAGCACCATCCAGGCTTTGTACAACCAGGCCCAGAGCATCATTCCTTTTTTTTTTTAATATTGTGGCTGGACTAGTGGGAAATACCTGTCATTAGTTATCGGTAGTATTAGTAAAATTTCCAAACTTACAAAATGTTGTTGTGATTATAGGTGACTATCAAGCTTCCCCAGAAGAATTCTTAGGATGATGGATCTCACCATAGTTGATGCAGGAACTAATTTAGTCCAACTAATACCTTGCACAACTGTGTGCCATAGCAAGTATCAGGCAGATTGTATAACCAACCCATATATCACACTATGTCACGTCAAATTGTATTGACATTAATTTACTGACATTGTTATACTTGGAGATACCTTTTAGATAAATATTTCCTTATAAACCATGATTGTAATCAACAACAATATACCAATGAAATGAATCTCAGATTTAAAATTAAAATAAAATTAAAACTAAACTGTGATTCTTTATTTCTTTCTTGATTGAATGAACCATTGATAACAAAACGAGTAGCTATTCTTTCATCCATATATGAATATCATTTTTCTATGTATTTAAAAAAAATGTCAAGTATCATGTTCTGAGACTTTCCCACTCCCTAACAAGATACCTAATATAAAAATTTGTCACAATTCTCACAACACATACATATATACATATATGTGTATGTATTTGTATATCATATTTACAGTATTTACACATGGAAATCTTCCAAAGGATGTCACAAAATAGGTCCTGTGGGGGGAGGGGTAGTAAGGAGTGCACTAGCACATGCACAGACATCTTTGATTCGTCAATCCAACATCCCATTTTACTAAACAATGATCAGCTAAGATTCGAGTGAGTTTAACAAAGATGACATTGCCTTGGCATATTCCTTAGGGTTTTTATAATAGATACAATTATTAGCACATGTGTCAGGATGCGTGTCCCATATTGAAGGTCCACATGCACAGAGGGGTGGTACTGATATCCCCTTGCTCCTAATCTTCTCCTTAATAACTGCTTTCATAGCATCAACAAACCTCTCCGATTCCTTACTCTTCTGCAATCTTGCATTTCTTTGTTGAACTGATTTCAGATATTCGGCCTTTTCTTCTTCCTCTCTTCTTTGAATCTCAAGTTTTTCATCCAGACTTTTTTGTTCTGCTTGCGCAAGCATTTGCTTATGCCTATGTTCAACTTCTAATCTTTCAATTTCTTTTTCAACTTTTATTTCTGCCATTCTCTTTCTGTGTTCTTTCATYCGAATATTCTCTCTCACCCTTTCTCTTTCAATATCCATGAATAGCTTCCTGTACAGTGCCATTTGACTTCTTTGGCGTCTTTTGGAATCTTCGGCAACCTTACCTGGCTTTAACAGGTCTTCTATTGCTTGTCTTCTCATAGTGTTAGGATCATTTGCTTTAACATGCATTCTTTCTTGAATATCATTCCTTTTGTTTCCATAATTTCTTTCTCTTTCATCTGCAAAAGTAACTTTTTTGTCATGCTTCTTGTTCATCATATTTGAGTCAAAAATTGTGAGTTTATTTTGATCTTCTTCTGCTAGCCATTGTGGTAAAACTTCAGCATTATTGCCTTCATTGTCATCGTTCTCTTGTGGGTTTGGGAAATCTTTGATCTCATTATCTCCAAGCCAATAATCTTTAGCATCATTACATGTAGTAGTAACATTGCCTACTTGAACTTGTGGTATGAAAATTGCATCAGATGAAGCTTGGCCTTTCTCTGTTAAATTCTCTGGAAATTCTTCTACTTGTTCTTGCTTTAAAGAACCTTTCCACTGGCCACCAGGGAGTTCGTTCAGTAGATTGTTATCTTGTTTTAAAGCTCTAGACCTCAAGACAACACGAGCATATCTAGCAGTAGAACGAATGTCCTCTGCATGTTCTTCTAACAGCTGACTTGCCTTATCTACTGCTTCATGACTATGAGCAAGAATTCCGGGCTTTATCGGCCTCATGATAGTCTTCTCCGAATTATCACGATAGCTACACGTATCTTGTTTTGAAAGAGAAGAATACTTTTGACTCGAAACTGCTTTGGGAAAAGAACTTTGATGGACAATATTTCGAACGATTTCCACAGCCTCAAAACTCTTCCCCATTTGCTCTTGCCTTTTCATTCTCTCTAGCATTTTAACTCTGCTTGCAACTTGTAGCTGGAATTCCTTCAGATGTTGTTCTTTCTCGTTTAAAACTTTTTTTAACTTTATCTCCTCTGAAACCGCATTTTTCACAGCGTTCAGTGGCTCGTGATTTTCAACTGGCTCTACCCAAGCTGAAAATGGCGGGATTCCTGCCGATCGCTGCACAAGGTGTCCCTTGGACTTGCTCTTCTTATTCGACTTCTTATTTGCAATTTTATTTCTTGTTAAGGATGTGTGATCAGGAAATCTTGATCTACAAATAACTTCTTTGCTGGACGCCATCTTGGTTGACCGTTATAATGAGCCCGCAGAATCAAAACAACGCGGTCATCCATGCCAGACTCACCACAGCTAACCCAAACCTTTGTATTTGAATAACTTTATGAAATATCTAAAATGTACATAAGTATATTTAAACAAATACAAAAAAAAACACGAATATTGTTTGAATTTTAGTATATTTTGTCACTCTTATACATCGTATCATCGGAAGGATTTGAATTTAATCTGGTCACGGAAACTGATTGAGTTTTTAAAACTTTTTGAATTTATTCCTCTCTTACTTGAAAAAATATATGCACATAGGTAGATTTAACTTTTACGCTTTTAATATTTCTAAACTAGCCAATTTTTAATACCTATTTTAAACCTTTGTTACTAGGGACTCTAAAATATTGCTTGGGCTACCTGTGGTTCAGTCCCTCACATCTATTTTAAACAGAGGTAACCTAGTGTCGAGTCTGTTTTACCCTACATTTTTGTCAGTTCTGTTCAACTTTTTCCCCAAAAAATCCAAACTTTTCGGGCATTTTTCAACGATGTCCGACGTGGACGATGACTATATGTGCGATGATGAAGAAGACTATGATTTGGTGAGTAAGAAATGCTCTAAAACCTGATCAAAATCATTGAAATTTGCCTCTAAATTTAGAGTTGATTGCTGACATTTTCTCCTGGAATATTTCTCCTGATTTTCGTAATTTCATTTGAAGAAAGAAGTTCTGAACTTTCCTTTAGTAACTACTGCAGTTTTATCCACTTTGTGCAGTATTTTTTAGAACTGTAGAGCCGAGAGCTTCATAGGATTTGCTCACAGAATAATACCTGTACATATTTATCAGCCATTAAGTTTCAGGTGACTGACTGTCTATATACTTACGCAGGGAAATGGCCTACTAAATAGTGCATTGGCCTATAACAGTTTGATTTAAGTACAGGGCTCACAGACACATATATATATATATGCTTGTATTAATTGCAGTATGTTACTCCAAAAATATTAAAATCAAATATATTCTACTATTTCTTCTTTCCAATTTTCATGATTTTAAAGACAATGTGAATGAGAAAAGAAAGAAAAAAATGAAAAAAATGAAAAGTTATTTTATTGTGTTATAGCTTTTTTCATTCACTAACTGCTGCTGTGTTCTTTGACGGCATACTCATTTGTATAGGTTTAGCTTTAATTTGTTTAAGTTATATAGCGAATCATTTACAAAAATCAACTGCAATGAGGAGAAGTTAAACCTGTATACAGGAGTCTGTAGTCTTAAATGGGTCTGTAATTCATCAGAAATAGTAGTATATATTTAATAAGGAAGAGGGGGTTTGATACTTAGATTAGTAAAATTGGAAGCACACGTGGCGTAGCGGTGAGAGCGCCTGCCTCTCACCAATGCAACCCAGGTTCRAGTCCCGCTGAGCTCAGTGTCATATGCGAGTAGAGTTGTTTGTTGGTCTCTCCTGTGCTTCGAGGGTTTTCCCAGTTTCTCCGGCTTTCCTCCCTCCACAAAGATCAACTCCTAAATTCCAATTGGAATTACAGTGGATGAATAGCTCTTCTGTAGAAATGCCACTGTTAAATCCCATTTATTACATGTATTTATTTATTTATGGATTGCATTTGTATTTTAACCGCCACCCGGCTAGCTCAGTTGGTAAGAGTGTCGGTCTGTGCAGGAGGTTGTGGTTCAAGCCTCAGCCGGACCAACACTCAGGGTCTTAAAATAACTGAGGAGAAGGTGCTGCCTTTGTAATTACATCTGCAAATGGTTAGACCTTCACGTGGCTCGGATGATCACGTTAATGGCAGCCCCGTCCCTAATTAACTAGAGACGTTAAAATAGGACCACTAGTTTATCAGTTGAATTACTGTCAAGTGTTATCCTCTATAAACAAAGTTAATTATTATTATTATTATTATTATTATTATTATTATTATTATGGTCAATAAAATGTAATTTCTCTTATTCCAGGAATATTCAGAGGACAGCACGTCAGAACCTGACGTTGACCTAGAAAATCAATATTACAATTCTAAGGCACTGAAAGAGGACGATCCTAAGGCAGCTCTGCAGAATTTCCAGAAGGTGAAAAAAATACATATACTGTAAAGTGATGCTACACTGGAATGATATAGATGGACAACCAGGACCTACTTTGCTTTTTTTCGAATATTTGGCTCATAGAGAATGCTTTTTCAAGAACTTGTACAGTAGAATCCTGTTCAAGACCCTGTAGGAACCTGTTCAAGCTCTTGATGGATTCTGTAGGATCCTGTTCAAGATCATGTAGGATCCTGTTCAAGATCATGTAGGATCCTGTTCTAGATCCTGTCCAAGATCCTATAGGATCCTGTACGAGATCCTTTAGGATTCTGTTCAAGTTCCTGTTCAGGGCCCTACTAGGATCCATGCAGGATCTGCACAACATCCTGGCCAAGATTTGCACCAGGATTCTATAAAATGTATTGCAAAGAATACTTTGTGCCATCCCCACCTCATTTTCCACGGCTTGCTACGTCCCTGATGGTAAAAACTATGCTAAACAGTGTACAGTACATGTACAAAAAGACCTATAGTCTACGCCACAATTATGTACTACACTTCACTTAACTGTACACCACACAACATTAACAACTACAGTACACCACACCTCACTAACATTTAGTTTGTTGTTGAAGGTTCTTGATCTAGAGCAAGAGAAAGGTGAATGGGGATTCAAGGCTCTTAAACAGATGATAAAGATTAATTTTAAACTAGTAAGTGTACTGTACAGTTATCAAACAACAAGATGTGAAAGAGTAATATTACGAAATTACATGGCATTGTGCTAAAAGGACCATGGATCACTAGATTATAATATCATTGAATGAAACTTAGTTATAGTATTTAATTAAATTTAAGGCTACACAATAGATTTGAGTTTTATATTTATAATAATCTAATAGTCAATGTAATTCAGTCTATTTGGACTAAAGTTGATTTATGCCAGAGCAAAACTCCAAATAAATCTGTCTGTCTGTCTAGTATAATAATAATAATAATAATAATGATAATAATAATAATTATTATTATTATATTATTATTAATAATAATAATAGTTAATTTAAGTAAGACAGATTTTGAAAATGTACTTATAATGAAAATTAACRCTAAAATCCGACGTTATTAAACCTTCATAATCGAGCCAAGATGACTCCGAAATGTCGGATTTTAGCGTTAATTTTCATTATAAATAGTTAATTTCTTTATATAGCACTATATCCAAAGCCTTGCCCAATTGCACTTTAATAGTATGCAAGAATAAAAATTGAAGGGGGGGGGGGGAGTAAAGTGGGGAAGGGAGGATGTGATTGGAAAATGTTGTGGGTATTAGCAAGAAGAAGGGGAGCCTGTCCCCCTCCATATCCCCTGTGTTACATTATTTTTATTTTTATTTTCCAGGGCAATTATGAAGAAATGATGACTCGTTATATACAACTCTTGACATATATCAAGGTACGTATGTATCATGAGATGTACAATAGCTAGCTGTCATTATTACATTAAATTTGGGATGCGACCAGTGTTTGAGTCCTGCCAACCTCGGTATCATAACCGAGTAGATCTATACATTGTTCGTTCTTTCCTGTGCTTTGAGGGTTTCCCATTTTTCCTCCTCACACAAAAAACAACTTCTAAATTCCAATTGCAATTTCAGTGGAAAACATATTTCCACATGTGGCATGTGATTGATTGGATGATTGATCGATTGATTGAAAATTTGTCAGTGTTGTTGAAGAAATAAAGACTCCTCAATTTGGTTTTATAGACACTAATCAGACTTTAAGATTCAAACTCCAAAGAATTACAATGAACTGCACAAGCAAACTCTCTCCCTCTCTCATCCCATAATATTTTTCTAACATCTTGGACACAGGAAGCCCGAAATTCAAAGTCCTAAGTCAAAAATCTTTAAACAAGTGTAAGAGGTGTTTTGGCTTTGAAATCATATCTATGCATGTACATGCACATAGAAGTGAGGCTAATGGGTCAATGCAAGATAATGATGACCGTAATATCAACCATTGTACTGTTCATGTTTATTATCCGTGACCAGACAGAAGATAAAAAGAGTTTGTTTTTCAATAGGAAATAAATATAATGTAAACTGTACGAACAGATAGAATATAATGAAGAAGATAAATATACACCTACTTGCAAGGTTGTCATACAAGAATAGAACATTTTGTAATTTAGTGAGAAAGGAATTCATTAAAAGACAAAAGAAAAAGTTCAGCTTCAGTGATCTTCTTTTGTTTTTTAATATAATTCCTATCCCACTAAATCACTAATGTTCTATTTTCGTATGACAACGTTCTTGCAAGTTGGTGTACAGTATGACATTTTATGGTTTTGATATTTTGGCCATCCTCAGTAACTGACCTAAATTGTTTTCTGAAAGATTAAAAAAAAAATATTTTCTATGATTTTTTCCAGAGTGCAGTAACTAGAAATCATTCAGAGAAATCAATAAACTCCATCTTGGATTATATTTCAACATCTAAACAGGTACTTTTAATAATTTTTGTGCAATACATATATTACTTTTTATATTTGCACATTTGATCATATTCCTACATGTAATTTGTGCATTATAAATAATAAATACCAGGTATTCAGGACTTAAATAACGTCTGGACATCAGTCAATGTGTGCCTAGAATTGGAACTTGTCGGGTCAAATCTTTGCCTTGCTTGTCATTTTGACCAGTAGCATTAAGCCAGGTATGCCTTGGCTGGTCAACATGACCAGCGACTTACCGGCTGTTATTTAAGTCAATTTTAAGCCCTGGTACTTGTATTATAAAACAATTATAAACTTTTGAGATTCCTTCTTTTAATCTTTTTTTTTATATTAAAAAATAATATTTCGAGAAATAGAACAAGCTCCTCAAATCCAAACATGTTTCGTCGTACATAAAAAATAATAATTAATTGACCTGAGTAGATGAATTTTTACCAACAATAAAAAAATATTATTCAATGTATTTGATATTGTTGGCTTTTTCTCAAAACTGTCTTGATAAACCTGTTCTTTCAATCCTAGCTAGGAGATTATCACGATAAGGCTAACCTCAATATCTCCTTTCGCACTCACTGATCAATGCAAATATTTTTTTTGCCCAATAGATGGAATTACTTCAAAATTTTTATGAAACTACTCTGGAAGCACTGAGGGATGCAAAGAATGATAGACTATGGTTCAAGACAAATACCAAGGTAAATACTGTAAATATCCTGTGTTTAATATGTGTTTGGGAATCAATTGGGGTGTAACAGCACATGCACTTCTGACTTGGGTTAGATTTATTTATTTATTATTTATTTATTTAAAGATTCGTACAGAAAAAAAATGTACCGGTGAGGGAATAATAGGACATAGTGTCCCCTACAAGGTTCCCACACCAACCCAACCACTAAAATATATAACACCAATCCCTAGATTCCTAGATTCCTTGGCTTACTTATAATTACATTAATAAGAGTGAGTAAAGTTTGTTTGGTCTCACCCTTGATTAAGGATTTTATGTTTATTACATATATGAAATTAAACTTGTCTGTTTTTTGTTTTCATTTTTTTATAGCTTGGGAAGCTCTACTATGACAGAATGGAGTTCAATAAATTGTCAAAAATTCTTAAACAGTTGCATCAATCCTGTCAGGTAATCCCATTATCTTCATTGTAGCATGGGTGGTGTTCGCGGCTAACGCGTTGTCTTTCACAGCTGTGAGTCCAACGGGTCGGGTCGCTGGTTGGAGCCCTACGGTCACTATATGTCAATTGAGTTTGTTTGATGTGTTGTTCTCTCCTATGCTATGAGGGTTTTCTCCGGGTTCTCCGGTTTCCTCCCTCCGTAAAAATCAACATGTGAGTTGAACATTGTGTGCATAGAATATTGAATGTAGTGGTAGTGCGTGTGAGTGAAAAGTGTACCAATTAGTGTGAAAGCGCTAGAATGACTAATGTAGACACTTAAATAAAGTGATTTATTTATTTGTTTGTTTGTTTGTTTATTTATTCATTTAACAGTAGAGTGAAGGTATTAAACCTGTGAAATAAAAATTACTAGTCAACATGTAATAGTCAAATAGACACAAAAGAAAACAATGGAATTAAGGTCTACTAAAGTGTGTTAATCTTATATCTATTTCACTTGTTTAATGACTTCACTCTAATTTGTAAACTTTACACCTTTTTAAATTCCTTAGTAAGTAGCTTGCATAGTTTACGAGCATGTACACTGTACTGTATGTATTGGATCCCTACCTTATTGTACCATCTTATTTCTTTTTTTATTATAATCTCCTGCAGACAGATGAAGGGGAAGATGATCTGAAGAAAGGAACACAGCTTCTTGAAATTTATGCTTTAGAAATACAGATGTATACAGCACAGGTACATGTAGATTTGTTTTACTTTGTAAAAATGAAATACATATGTAAACTGCAGCTGCATATAGCTGATGAATCCGTAACCCTCATTCAAATCCGCAATTGAAATAGAATATGAATGAGCTAACACAGCATTGTTTTCTTTTCCTTTTGTCCCTCCATGCTTTTCATTCCATTTTCCATTCTTCTCATTTTTATTTTAACTTATGCTATCTTCCGCCACCTGGTTAGGTCAGTTGGTAAGAGCCTCAGTCTGTTGTGCTGGAGGTCATGGTTCAAGCCTAAGCCGGACCAACACTCAGGGTCTTAAAATAATTGAGGAGAAGGTGCTGCCTTTGTAGTTACATCTGCAAACAGTTAGACCTTCAAGTCTTCTCTGACTTTAAACCATATAGGCCCTGTCTCCCAACCCTGTTGAATTATTCATGTAAGAGTAGGGGATTGTCTCCCAATTCAAAAGCCTATCCCTGTCTGGAGGCATAACACTAATGTACTAACAATGTAAGCTGCACGGCTGCTAATCACGCCTTAATATGCASCCCGTATAGTCCTCCAATGGTCATTAATGTAAAGCGTATTGAGACGTTGTATGAATGCGCTATACAAGAACCTCCCATTATTTATTATTATTAAAGTTTCTCCTATCATCAGATTTCTTACTGGAGAACAACCTGTGTTTATTTTTTTTTTAAATATATCTTAAAAATTTTTTTCAGAAAAATAACAAAAAGCTCAAAGCATTGTATGAGCAATCTCTTCACATCAAATCTGCCATTCCACATCCTCTTATCATGGGTGTGATCAGAGGTAAGGAAAGATATCAAGACTTTATACATGTGCTGTACTGTATATGAAATTGTGAGTAAATTTTGTTTTTATGGAGGAAGAAACAACCAGAAAATCCGGAGTAAAACCTTCGTGGCAAAAAAAAATCTCACTTGTAATTCACACACACACTACTACTACATTTAATATTCTATGTACACAACCCTCAACTTACATGTTGAGGGAGGGAGGAAACTGAAAAACCCAGAAAAAACACTGGTAGCATAGGAGAGAACAACACATCAAACAAACTCAATTGACATGTGGCAACCACAGGGCTTGAACCAGTGACCCAAACCGCTGGACTCACAGCGGTGAAAGACAAGGAGTTAGCAGCCTACGCCACCCATGCTACCCATGAGAGAGATCCAACATTATCATATAATTATCCGTAAAATACCTATATTTCTCCTTTTTGAAAAACTGATATTTTCACATGTGAAAATAACATGTTATTTTCACATGTGAAAATATCGTTACCATGTGTATTTAAGCTATTAT